ACCGGTAATCCTTGAATTATGATCGGTCGGCTTAGCCATTGAAAGAATAACAGAATAACAGAGCTGGAAGGGACCCTGGAGATCTTCTAAACCAACCCCCAGTTCAAGGCAAGGAGCCTTATACCATCCCAGTTAAACTGTTCTCTGATCTATTCTTGAAAACTTCCAGTGTTGGAGCATTCACAACTTCTGGAGACAAGCCATTCCACTGATTAATTGTTCTCACTGTCAGGAAATGTCTCCTTAATTCTCGGTCGGATCTCTCTTTGATAAGCTTCCCTTGTCCTGAGCCCAGGTGGTTTAGAGAACAGAGTGAGTACTTTTCGAGACGATCCCAGTCTCATGGTTCCGCGGGCATCGGTCTGCAAACACAGCCTTGGTGTGCCTGGAGAGCCACCTGGTGGAATGAACCACAAATCCTTCTGCAGAAGTACAAAGCAACGTGCCACAGCTGCCCCAAAAGTGCCAATCCAGCTTCAGGTTGCATTAAACAGGGAGGATTAACACCAAAACTGTGGAATGGGCTAGTTCTGCTCTCCACGGCACTGAATCAGGCCACGGCCAAACATGGGGCCTAATTCTGGCCAGGACAACGCAAGAAGGATGTTGAGAAACTGGACAGAGTGTTGAAGGGCCCAGAAGTTCAGTCTTATGAAGAACAGTTAAAAGGAGCTGGGTATGTTCCACTGTTAGAGCAATAATGATGTATGGGTTGTGAGAGTTGGACATTTAGAAGACTGACCCAAGAAGAATTGGCGCCTTTGAACTGTGGTGCTGGGGCAAATGACGGCGTATGCCATGGGCAGCCAGAGTAACTAACAGAGAGGTCTTCAATGGTATAAAACCAGAAGCATCCTAGAAGGTTAAATCATAAGGCTACATCTGATACTGTGTTATGCATGCAAATTCATTGCAGAAGGCAATGAGGCTAGGCATGGTTGGTGGGACGAGAAGACGGGGCAAAGACATAACTGGCTGGCTTGATCCCATCAAATCTAATGCCAAGTTGAACATCCAGCAACGGAAAGAAGCTGTTCTTGAGAGGGTAGCATGGAGAGAACTTGCCTATAAAGTCACCAAGAATCAGACATGACTTAAATGGTTAAAAACTAACAAAACAATGTTCAACCAGAAGAAAAAAAGGGGTTATGGGAGACATAATCTCCGCCTTCCAATATTTAAAGGATTGTCATAGGGAAGAAGGATTTATTCCCCACAGTCCCCAAAGATAAGAGTTAATGGGGGAATATTGTTTACAGTGGGAGACAGAAACTGGAAATAAAGAGTAATTTCCTCGACTTGAGAGCTATTTAACAGTTGAACATCATCCTGCCTTCTGGAGTTGTGGAGTCTCCACTAGAAGTTTCCAAGAAAAAGTTGGACAGCCTTTTTGTCCAGGATAAGGGATTCTGCACTGGAAAAGGAGTTGGATTAACAGACCTCTAAAGTCCCTTTCGACCTGAGGATTCTATAAAAATTATATATCTATGGCATCTGTATGGTTTTTTTCTATGAGATTTACGCAAAAAAAAAAAAAGAGGAAAATCTGTCATTCAAGCAGACCCTGTCCTTGCTCCATACAGTACACAGGAATGTTTAGCTTGTTTCAGAAAATAACATAGTACGTGATATGCAAATATATGCAAAATTCATTACGCTATTTCTTTTTAAGGCAATCATACTATTCAAAGAGGAAGAGTAGTAAATAAAAAACACTGAAATGTGTGGAAATAAAATGACATTAACTAAATCTGTTTTTTTCCCCTTCTGTTTAATTGTTTTTGATTCTCAGAGATCAGAGACTGCCTGGATAAGTGGCTTTTTGGCAAGATTTTTGAGAAAAAAACTGATTAAAAAAACAGACAGTAAGTTCTAGTGTCAAAGGAGAACTTCTCCAGGATTTCCCTGATTAAAATCTTAAGTCTTAACTGAAGATTTTATCATTTCCCTGATTAAAATATTAAGTCTTAACCACCACACAACTTCGGTATCACAGTTGTGTGTGTTTGCATGCCTTCAAGTCATTGTTGACACCTGGCAATTACCTGGTCTAGTCTCTGCGGCTTTCTTGGCAAGATTTCAGAAGTGATTTGCCATTGCAAATCCAAGGTGGATGTGTGTGCCTAAGGTGGGGCCAAAACTCACAATTTGTAGCTGGTGCCTTTACCACACCACCAAAAAGGCTCTCAGTTTCACCAACGCTGAATGTTCATTCACTGACTTTCAAGAGCACACTTCTCCTGAGATTTAGTCTAACTTATCTTCCCCATGAAAAAACTAATAATATCTATTCCTTTCATCCACAGTTCCAAGTAGTCTGGTAATGTAAGCTGAGTGCAAATGATATAGCAGCTTGAGACAGAAGGGAAACCCTATAGGTTCAGAGCAGATTAAGCAGTTGTTTATAAATAACCAGGGGAAAATGCAGTAATCATTAAAAGCCACTGTTTGTTATACCAGGACATGTTTCATTACTCATTAACGGTTTAAGCATATTTTGGAAGACTTTCCACCTCGTAGCTCCGAGAATGCATGGATGTTAATGGATCTATTACTGCACAACTGTAACGAGTGAACACAAAGGAGTGACACCACATCGAATCTCCAGCAAACTATTATAAGCATTCGTCCTGAGTTCCGTGCTTTGCTTGGATAAGAATATGGAAGGGCTTTATCAAACTAATGACTGGCAGAGGGCTGGCAAGATTGACTAAAACCAGGGAGAAGCAAGATACAAACATTCATGCATTTAAGGTAAACAAAAAAAAAAAAATGAAGATGTAACCATTCAACAGATTAATCATTGAGCCAGCTGTCTACTACTTTTACTAAAAAGATGAACAGCATCTCAGTTTGAATTAAACAAAAACTATCTAGAACACAAAAGTGGTAGAACCGTTCAGTGCTAATCAGCCTAGATGGGAAGTTCTGGGACACTTAATCAACCATGCTGCCAAACTGAATTGTGTCAAGCAATAGTAACCACGACTGGGTGTATTTGAAAATGAAATCCCATATAAAATGGCTGAGAGACAGGGGTATGATTAGTTTGTAGAAAAAGCAATGAAAGGGTGACCATGATAGTTATCTTCAAATATCCGAAAGGCTGCTATGTTTAAGATGACAACATGTGCCCGTTGACATTTCAATAGGGCAGGATTAGAATAAGGAGGTAAAAACTAAAAATTAATACAGTACAGTACATTTCAACCAAACATGAAAAGAAATTTCAATAGCAACAGCTATTGAACATCCAAAAATAGTGGACTGTTGTTCTCTGACAATCATTTGTTCATCAGATTTATTTGTAATCAATAAAAATAAGGAATTTTATTTTTATCTTATTTTTAAGGAATGAGGAAGAAGAAAACAGGAAACTTGCACTGACCCCCTCCTAGAGGATTGAAAGGCGAAATGTATCACACGTATACACATCCCATCTAAGCAAGGCATTGAAAATGTCCCATGCTTATCCAGCTTCCTTATCAGTGAACAAAAAGTGACTAATAACTTTTTGAGGAAGATCTGCAGGAAGCAGAAGCCAACCCAGCATGCATTTCCCACAAAGGTCGACTCAGCCTTCCTTCCTGGTCTCAAAAAGGAGGTTCCTCCTCTACCCCTTCTCTTTCCGCCCTTCGGGTGGAAGGGGGAGAGAAAGAATCTATTTCTGGCTAAAAAGCCAAAGGGGAAAAAAAGAAAAAAAATTCATAAAAGAGGAATCATGCTCAACATTTCATTAGGATGGTCCTGATGACCTCTAACAATCTGGAGGGGCAAGACTTTTACAATAACTTTAATGTCATTTTAAATGTACACTAACCGGCACACATTAAAATGAAATTTCGTTATTACAGAATAGTAAAAGACAAACAGCTTTTACTATTAATTTATCTCTTCTATATGCCCTCTGTGCATGTGTATGTAACTTTTATTTATTAAATTCATATGCCGCCCACCTACCCAAAGCAACTGGGATATATGCACGCATGCATACATATATATGAGCTGACGGTGTATATGCATATACATGAGTGTGTATATGTATGTGTATACACAAACACATATGTACATACCTACTTACACATATATATTACACACACACGTTGCTTTGGGTAGATGCATATGTATGCATGCATACATATATGAGCTGACATTGCCATGAGCTGACGGTGTATATGCAAGTATGTGTGTGTGTGTACACTGTCAGCTCATGGCCCAACTGTCTCTGGGCAGGGGGAGAGGGACTGGCCAGTCCCCCAGGCAGCTTCCACCCCGCAGGGAGGCGCAGCGCTCCCTCTCTCCTGGCTTCTAGGCCAGCCCCTTCCCCCTGCGGGCTCTCTTTTGTCGCCCTGCCGAGCTCATCCAGATCCGTCCAGGCCTGACGGGGCTTCCTGAGGGATTATTCCACGGCTGGCCGAGAGCAGCCGCTGCCACCGGGCGCCCTCTGCACATGTTCAGGGGCTCTTTGCCTCTCGGGGCTCGGAGGGAGAGAGACATCTCTCGCCACGGGCAGGGCCAGAGCCGGGAAAGGAGCTCCGGGGACCGGAAAGCCCGGCCGGGGCTCGAGCCGACTCACGTTTCACCAGCTCCTCCCCGGGGAAGCCCGCCGCGCAGCTGGTGATCAAGGTGCACGGGACGGCCATCGCGCACGCCAGCGGTCTTTGAAGGGCCCGGCGCTTCCCTTTCCGGCGGAGGCCCCGCCCTTTCCGGCCCGTACCATTTTAAACAACCGCTGGGGGCGACGGAAGCAAACAAAGTTAGCGAACGGTTGCGGCTCAAGAAACCCGTAATCCCCGAAGAACTGCGATACGAAAGCAAAGACGCCTCCGCGCCTCTTTTCTTTCGCGAACAGAAAGCGGAGCTGGGTCCATTTCACACGGCTACGGCCATTCTTCCCCCCCCGCCTAATACGGGCCCGTGGTCCAGGCCCGAGCCGCGCGTCCCGTTGCTAGGAGGCGAGGTCACGTGATACCCGGCGCCTTTCCGGAGTGGGAGGTTCCGCCATGGCGGGGGTAGCTGGGTCGGGGGTCGAGCTGGGCAGCGTCTTGGTGCAGGTGGGTCGAAGGAGGTCGCCTCCGCCCGGCTCCCCGGACCCCCTCGCGCCACTGCCCGACCTGATGGGCTCCAGAATCCCGGGGTGGTGGTGGTGGTGGCTAGGCTCAGCCACAGTTTGACTAACTAACCCTGGTCTGTTGCCTAAACCACGATGGGCGGGGGGCTTCACGGCTGGGCTTGGTGAATTGGCCGTGGCTGGGTTAGCAAAGCATACTGGGTCGTCCACCCTCTCGACCCTTTTTGCAGAGCGCAAAGTTTTTTTTTTAAGTTTAAAAAAAAACAACTATTTTTTAAATGGTGGTTTGCATCAGGGCCAAAGGCTGCCCTGAGCTAAAACTGGGCTAACCAAGGCGGGCCTCTCTGGATAAAACATTGCCTTTTATTTGGCTGGTTAGGTTGTGGCTTGGTGTCAATTTCCTAAGTTGTGGCTGCACAAACACAACTATTGGTGTGTTACCCTGAAAAAAAGCCCCTGAAAAAAGAGTGAGTCGGGCCATTCTTTCTCCATGGGATTTTTTTCCTCTTTGACTGAGTAAATCTTCTATAGTCCAGCCAGGATTCCTTGGCTAAATATAACCCATAGGACCTTTATAGGAAAGTTTCAGAAGAAAAATGCAATAACCGTGGAATTGATGCTTCAGCTGCTCCACAGCCTCCTTCTAGCCCTCTGCCTTTCAGTTGCATTTTTGTCTTATTGGCCTTGATTCCTACAGCTCTAATCAGTCCTGTGTGTATCTCATATAGATTTAACAAATGGTTTTCTCTCTCATTTTAATATAGTTTACAGATCCCTCAGAAGTTACTGTTTCCCCTTTTTAATGTCTAACCTTAGCCTTCTGGTGGAGAAAAAGCAGATTTGGTAGACATCTTCCAAAATAACTGTCACCTGTCTTTTGGACTACTCTGGCAATATAATGCTCTAAAGAGATGAAGCTTACAGCTGATTAAATATCTAAATGGAAAATACAATGTACTAGTCTCCAATGGAACTGTCTTTGGTTTGATTTCAGAAATATTTCACAGATTTAGTATGTATGTATCTATATATGTATGTATGTGTATGTGTAATATATATATATATGTATGTATGTATGTATGTATGTATATGTATACATGTATACATGTATACATGTATATATAATATGCATACATATACATATATACATACATACGTACGTACATACATACATACAATTATGTGGAATTAGCCAGCTATTTTTTCAATCAGCTTTGTCTTAAAAACCACATGACTGACATTCAGAATTTTATCTACTTTGGAAGATCCTACCTTGACAAATATATTATTTTCCGATAGTAGAAACCAGTGCATTCATATCACACTGCACAACTTAGTGACTAGAATCAATCACGGTAGCATTTACCTAGTGGGAAATGATGCTTCCTGATAAAAGTTATCCCATTCCCTTAGTTCCAGAGATTCTTCTGGAACTCTTTTGCATCTAAAGATTGTGTTAATCAGCAACAGACTTTTCCAAAAGGATGCTGTTTCAAAGCATCATAACTACTGGAATGCCTGAAGAGAATGGAGTGGGCAAGCAGGGTAGCAGACACTCAATTTTATGTTCCCCTCGGCTTTAATTGGCTCCATTTGCAGTGACATTTTTCTCAACCATAAGGAAATGTGGCCTCTGATCCATTAGATCCAGAGATCGCTCGCTTTCACGTGTCACATTGGCACCTGAACTCTTTTCTAAGAACGCTCTTTTTCCAAAAATTTGTTTTATTCACAAAATTAAAATAGAAGCTCCACGAAAGAAAGAAAAAGCTAAATAAGACATAAAATAAAAAACATACATACATACATACAGAGAGAGAGAACAGAGATTGTGGATTCTAGGCCTCCCTTAGGCATGAATGCTGGTTGGGTGACTGTTTAGGACAGTCTCAGTCCTGCCAGACTACCCTGATCTCAGGTTTTGACTACATCATGCCCTTAGCTATGAGGATTCTGTGGACTTAACAGAATTTGTTTTTAAGCAAAATATTTGACAAAAATATCCCATGCTATTTTAATTAGCAAGCTAGTTAAGAAAGGGCTCTTGGCTGTGATAAGTGAATACTTGACTGGCTCAAAATTCCGATTCAAAAGTGTCTTCATCACCAGTTTGTGGTCTAGAACAAGGAGTAACATTTGTGTGTGTAAAAGTCCAGATAGTAAATATTTTAAGCTTTGTGGACCAAGAGGTTAAATCAAGGATATTATGTTCTTATATAACCAGGGGGGAAACAAATTTCCAAACATTTTTAATTGATGAAATTCCCTTTCTTTGACCTGCTCACACTTCCAAGAGGCCAGGGCAGAGGCTCCAGCAGCTCTGCAGGTACAACTGGCAGGTCTGCAGGCCAAGGAGTAGCAGCTTGCCAGCAAGGAGGCCACCAATGCCCAGGATGCTCAGCCCCACCCTTCACATTGGGAGCTCAGGTGAGGTTCAGGTCTAGGTAGCTGCACCTACCTACCCACCTGTCCATTCTTAGCTCATAGGCCGTACAGAGACAGATGGCAGGTTGGATTTGGCTCATGAGCTTTAGTTGGCCACCTGATCCAGAACTTATCAAGTAGAGTAGAAAGGATTGTCCTGCGTCCTCTATTCTTCACCATTTTCTCACATAAGAGTAGACAAAGGGTGGAGAGGATGCTTATCAAATTTACAGATGACAAAAGCTGTAGTGGGATAGCTAAAAAAACATGAAAATTCACCAAAATTAGGGAAGGACCAGCATCTGAGGGATCACGTCTACGAGATGGCAAAGAGGATTGGAAGAAAAGAGACAAGTGTGCTGCTAGCCAGGAGATGTTGCCAGCTAGGTATAAATAAAGCCCAAAATGTTGGAGGCTTATGGATAACTATACAGTCACTTCTGGTGCTTGGCAGCTGTGCTGCATTTATGGCCATTTGGTGTCTCTTTTTTTTAACAGTTTGTTTATATATTTTCATTTTACATGCATAGGTGCTTATTGAACAGCACATTGTCTGGCTCCATTTGTTTACATAATACATTTCCCAGTCCTAATTTCTACTTCTATTATCCAACCATTTGTAAAACAAGTCCCATGTTTGAAAATATTCTGCATCTTTTTCCCTTATTTTTAGTGTCAGCACAATCTAAGCTTTTTTTTAATTGCATCTTCAGGTTTTTCCTCGTTTTTCCAGTCCTGTGCAAATACAATTCTTGCTGCTGTCAAAACATATATTAAATATAGATTCCCTTTATCATACTTTTCAGGTATAATACCTAACAAAAATATTTCTGGCTTATAATCTATGTGCTGCTTTAAGGTTTTATTCTAACCATGTATGTATTTTTGGCCGTTTGGTCTCTTGACTGCATTTTATGATGATTTTGCTGAAAATTCATTTACCTTCAGTTTTCTGCAAAACCTCACCCACAGCAAGCTGTGGGTTCGCTTAAACAACCACAGTATTCACTTCATGACCACACATTCACTTAGTGGTACCAGGGATTCACTGAACAAAAAGGTCATAAAATCAGGTTACAACCATGATGGGCATTCTCTGTTGCCGTTGTAACTCGAGGACTCCCTGTGCATCTAGCTACCTGCTTTGTTAGCTTCCTTCAGGCAGGGGAATAGTTAAGTCAGGAATCCTGAGCAAGCAATAAATCATTTGACTGTGTTCTTACTGCATCCCAAATTCTTCCATGGTTGAAGTTGTAAAAGACAGTTTGGAGGAAGAAATCTATTTGTGTAATTGCTTAAGCTAAGATGTCTTTACATGGCTAAAAGAAAAAAACAGTGTTTTCTGTCTGATAAAATAAATCAAGCGGGGGTAGAGTGGAAATTGGAAGAAACTTTTTTGCAAATGAAGTTTGGTTGGTTGCTCCCAAGAAGCTACGAGGGTTTGTGACAGTGTAGATTAGAAAACTTAAGATATTTTAACAGTTAAAAGTGTTCCAAAGCAAGATTAACTTTATTGGCATTTACTCCCAGTTGAGTATATTGGAAGGCAGCTGCACAGTAGAATTCTTCATATACGGTACAAGTCTCATTGAGCATTATACCTATTATTGGAACCGAAGCCTAAATCAATAATATTGTTATTTGAGCCAGGCTATATTTGTATAGCACACTAATCTATCAAATACAGTTAAGAAATTGCACATCATGTTAACATGGCTTAACAGGGTAGCCTTGTTTACATTACACACTGCAACACACGGGCTGTTTGATGTTGATTCAGCCTTGGTGTTTTGTCAACAGTGGCTCAATATGTTTATTTGGTCATGCACACCTGCAGGAAGGGCCAGCAGGTAAACGCTGACAAGTGTGATGATGCAATCACATGTACACATACTTTTGTCCAACATCCTGATGCAAGACCATAATAACATTTGTGGGATGACATCATTGTATGTGTGTGTGTGATCATTTTGATTTGTGGACATCGCTGGACCCAGCCTGGTGGTGGTTGTTTTTTTCTTTCTTTCAAGTGGCCTTGTTAGAGAATACGTGATGCTTGCACTATCCCAACTCCAGCCCTGTAATTTGAAATGCCAGCTTTTGTCTCCCACTTGTAACATTCCAGAAGACTCTGAGGTTTAAGCAGCCGGATACTTTTCAGTCTTAACCTCAGAGGTGCATTTAAATTCTTGTGTGTTTTCAGTGCATGCTTTCTTTCCTAGGTTCAAGAAGATCTTCAACAGTTGAAGGAACAACTGCGAGATTTCAGCCATGACTGGGAAACAACAAATGCTGAAAGTCTAGAATCGATTGTTGAGAAGGCAGAGAACAGGCTGAGGGTAAGTGAATTGCCTCTCTTTTAGCGGTAAACTACAGGTGGTAGTTGTGGTTCACCAGCAGCCTGTGCAGACAGCAGCGGAATCGGACAGTGGGGAAGAACGGGGACCAGTTTGGGAGTCTGGGGAGGACTCAGACGAGGGTCCTGCGTCCGATGCAGAGATGGGGCCTGGGCCATCTGGGAGTGGAGTGCTGACTCCGGAGCCTTCAGCGTCTGGCAGCAGTGAGGCCGACGAACAAGGGGAGCCTGTTCCCAGTGTGCGTGTGCACAGAGCTGCTAGAAGGCAAGAGCAGCTAAGACAAAAGGGGCGACTTGGGAGTAAGGCTGGGAGGTGATTGCTCCTCCCATAAGGTATAAAGGACAGGCAAAGGTAGAGAAACATTTGCAGGTAGCAAAGTCGTTCGCTCTGTTCGGATGAAACCTTGAAACTCTGTGTGGACTTCATACTTCTGTTGGTTTTTTTATAGTTCATTTGGCACTTTAGTTGTTGGCAGCAATTCAAAGGAGAGAAAGGTGGGTGCTTATCTCGAGGGACTGTTTGGGACTCATTACAGGCTGGGAATGAACATAATTCCCAGCGCTGAAATAAAAAGTTATTTGGACTAAGCATGTGCTTAATTACGGTCCCAGGAAGCCTTGGTCAGAACAGGTAGTCCTTGAGTTACAACAGTTCATTTAGTGACCATTTGAAGTTATAACAGTGCTGAAGTGACATGAGCAATTTTCACACTTATATGGCCGTTGTGGCATCCCAATGGCCGTGTGATCAAAATTCAAATGTGTGACAACTGTCTCATATTTATAATAGCTGCAGTGTCCTTGTGTCATGTGATCGCCTTTTGCGACATTCTGAGAAGCTAAGTGAACGAGGAAGCCAGATTCACTTAACAACTTTGTTACTAACTTAACAATTGCAGTGATTCACTTAACAACTGTGGCAAGAAAGGTCGCAAAAAGGGACAAAACTCACTTTGCAGCAGAAATTTTGGGCTTAATTCTGGTCGTAAGTCAAGGACTACTGAGAGAGAGAGAGATGCAGATATACAGTATACAGATATAAACATACATATTTTCTCTCTACTCTCAAAACAGGACCATGCAGAAAAGTATTTAAATGCAGTGAACAGATCAGTGCTAACTATTTTCCCGGCGGACGATGTAGAACGCTCTTCAAGGCAAATTTCCAAATGGTAAGAAGAACATTCAGCTTGTTTGTCTTTTAAGAGGTAGAATTTGGGTGCTTTTAAGGATTCGAAGATAGTTTTCATAAGCTACTTCCAAACATCAACATTCTGCTTCCTGGCAAGGATTGGAGAAGGAGTTGGCTGTATTCACATGACACTGAATAGCTTTGCTTGGTGCTTTGAGTGCCTCCTTTGTGAAGTTCTGTGGTTTGGAAATGGCAGTCCACGCCTCTGTTTTGGTCTTACTGGGTTGTTCACTGGATGTTTCTGGCTGAGAATGTCTCCAAGATTGAGAACATACCATAGAACGTCCTCTTTCTCTCCTGGGACAAGCTCAACATCTTGCATGTAGGATGGCAAGCCTTAAAACAAGGTGTGGAATCTGGATGGTGCTACCCAGCTTGCATGCTGATTTTGGGGGAGGTTCTATGACAATTCGCCACGGCCAACTGGCCACAGGACGAGAGTTACACTACTATCAAAGAATTGGTGGGATAATCATTAAAGAAAGGATGCAAAAGGAGTGGCAGAATGAAATACAAATGGCAAAAATTAAAATAATTTTAACCTTTTAAATAATTAAATTTAGTTATTGGTAAATTGTCCCATGGTGAGTTTTTCCGTTGACAAGTTGGCCATGATGACAAGTTGGCTGTTACAAGTTGACTCTGGCGAGTTTCTAGAACAGAATAGAATAACAGAGTTGGAAGGGACCTTGGAGGTCCCTTGGATGTTTTTAGGAGATCAGCTAGGTTTTTGTTTTAAGTTTAAGCAGGCAAGGTGGTCTTGATTGTCACATAGGTGGCATTTGATGTTATCTTCGCTTTCATTGATGGTTTCAAGACATTTGAAGCATGTGCAGGGATCTGGGAGGTCCTTGGTAGAGATATTATTATTTTGTTGTTGTTTGGTAGTGGAGGATTTGGAGTTTTTGGCTGGCATGGTCAATGTCAGCTGGTGCTCCATTCAAAATCCAAGAAAGAAATACTTTAGACTCCTTTAATCAGAGAAAAGATATCTTTTACTGGAAATCAAGTGGTAGCAACAAAAGAATTCTGAATCTGAGAAAACGGGCGCATAAATCACATATACAAAGTAATGGCAACGTTCCCACCCCCAATAGTTCAATTGGCTCATCCAATTAAAAGTTGTGTATATCATCATGTGGGCATCTCCAGGTGGTGATGAGGCCTCTGTCCATTGACCTTGACATAGTTTGATAAAGGGTTGCAGCTGCGCATAGCATAGGATAGAAACCTAAGCAAGAATGTACCCCTCCCCCCAGTTTATACAGTTCTGGTTTGTAACACCTCCGGCTCACTTCCCATAACCATTCCCCCCTCCTCCCCCCGTTACTTATGACAGCCGAAAGATGCAAAGCAAAGGGAGAAAATCTTGAAGGCTGACAGTCAATGACAATAGTACACTTCCAGCTGCCGCTTCAACCCTGGGAAGAGCAGAAAATTTTATGATATGGAGCATCAAATATTGATTATTTTCTGTACCTATTAGGTTCTAACATTCCTAATAAAAAGATTTCTGGTTTAAATTTCACTCTCTGTTTCGTTATTTCCTCTAACCATGATCCAATATCTCCGTGCATGAGGGCACGTCCACCACATATGGAGGTATGTTCCCTGGTTATAACTGCACCTCCAACATTTAGGTATCATATTTGGAAACATTTTGGCTATTCTGCCTGGTGGAAGGTTGCTACACTGAATGTCTTCTTTGGGGGATACTAAAATAAAGCTCTTTTGCCTGCTTTCTGATTCTGTTCTCTTTCCAATTTAGGGGAATCCCCCTGGAGCCTTCTCAGAAAGCGATCACTTTCCCCAAGATGCCCGTGATCACCCCTCCTGGCGCTGCAGCCCTGCCTCCAGCCTCATCCTTGGGCTCAAAGGTTGGAAGCAGCCCATCTCTTTAATCTTGCCAGGGATCCAGTGGTGGGATTCAATTCTTTTTTTTTACTACCGGTTCTGTGGGCGTGGCTTGGTGGGCGTGGCGTGGCTTGGTGGGCGTGGCGTGGCTTGGGCGTGGGAGGGAAAGGATAGTGTAAAATCTCCATTCTGTCAGCTTTGGAAGCCATATTTATTTTATTTTATTTATTTATTTATTTATTTGATTTGTCAATCACTTACAAGATACAGGTATAAGAATAAACATAGTTTTGAATACATGAGATACTTATAAGAAAAATAAAAAGAAACAATAGGACAGGGACCGTAGGCACATTGGTGCGCTTCTGCACACCCCCTACAGGCCTCTTAGGAAGGGGGTGAGGTCAATAGTAGACAGTCTAAGGTTAAAGTTTTTGGGGTTTGGGGAAAAAACCACAGAGTCAGGTAGAGTATTCCAGACATTGACCACTCTGTTGCTGAAGTTGTATTTTCTGCAGTCAAGTTTGGTGCGGTTAACCTTGAGTTTGTATCTATTGTGTGCTCTTGTATTGTTATGGTTGAAGCTGAAGTATTCATTGACAGGTAGGACATTGCAATGTATGATTTTATATACTATACTTAGATCGGACCGAAGGCTCCCACGCTGCCACATCTCAGCCTGGGAAAGTGGGAAGGGGGAATATATTGAAATAGACCTAGTTAGACATAATAACATTCTTTTTCTGATTCAAGGTCAGGTTGTGTTGTGCATAGCAGAGAGGAAGTCTTAACTGGGGACGGGTGGTGATTGAGCCATGTGATGCGATGATGGGTGCAGGGGGTGGATTTTGTAGTTTTTACTTATTGTAAGGAAGACAAGGACTTTCAGATTCGGGATTCTCTAGGGGTGCCAGTTTACTATCCAAAACAAAAGGAACCTTCAAGAGATGTCGGTTTCAGAGTCATTTGGGTAGAATGGAGTGTTGCTGGAACGCTTTACCACCGGTTCTCCGAACTACTCAAAATTTCCGCTACCAGTTCTCCAGAACTGGTCAGAACCTGCTGAATTCACCCCCTCTGCAGGGATCCTGCTGTCTTAGTTCTCCTCTGAAGTGATTCAGCCGTAGAGCCCCCGAGGACAGGCCCACTTTGGATTTTGTTCTGCAGGCTAGGGAATGGATTATGGGGCAGGGTTCCTCCTCCCCTAAGGGCAAAAAAAGTGGAGGCCTTAAGGTTTATGGTGATGGTCTGATTGTTTTGGTAAACCAAGGGGGTTTCCTTCCCAAGCCTCCCCTGATTTCCTCCCTACCGCAGAGATAGATTGAGGGAGGGCGACTGACTCACAATCCCTCGTGAGCTCCAACACAAACTGGGACTTGAAATTGAATCTCTCTGGTCCCAGTGCAACAGCTTAACCCACTGTTTCTGCCGTGGCCATTTGAAGATACGTGGCCTTCAATATCCAGAATTCCTCCATCCGCAAGGCTGGCTGGGTAATTCTGGGTGTTGAAGTCCACGTACTTTCCAGCTGGCAAGGCTAAGAAAACCCTGCCTTAACCACTACAACCACTAGAGACGACCTGCAGCAAATCCTGCCCAGTTTTAAGAGGGAGCAGCCATGCTTGTTCCTTACCTGCCAACTGAAGAGCAAACCTGTGGTCATTTCCAAAGTCACCTTTCCAAGAAAACTACTAGGAGAGATTATCTTCATCCTGTCAAGGAGGCCCAAATGTTTTGCTGCCTGTCCTGCGGGAGCTTCATCACTGGAAGCTTTCAAGAAGAGACAGGACCACCATCTGTCAGTAGGGTCTCCTGCTTGGGGTGGGAGTCGGACTAGATGACCTACAAGGTCCCTTCCAACCCTATTAATTGGTTTAATCTGTCAGTGAAATCACATGTTCTTTGCGAACATCTCTTTCACATCGAGATAATTTGTATCTTGTATGGAGTCCTGAAGCTTCTACTTTTAAAACAAAAGCATATTCATTAATACAAACATTATATTTATTAATATAATAAGTACATATGAGCTTATCTTAACAAGTTTTTTTCCTCCCTGTAAGTAAATTCTTTCTCGGTCCTTATGGCAATCAGAATACCTGGATCTGTTGCATCCGGATAATATCTGAGATGTCATTCCCCTTTAGAATCCGAATTCTCATTTCTTTAAATATTGTGAATGTGTTACCTGTTGTTCATTTTTTGCCTGCCACTACAATAATAACATTTTGTGTCCAAAATAATTTGCCAACAGCAGATAAATTCACACAAGCAGATTCTGTACACATTTATTAATCAACCACTCGGTTACATGGATGGTAACAACTCAGTTGTGTGAGCCTGGCATAGCTCTATATCACATCCTTGATGTGATTGCAGAATTCACTGGCAAGAAAAAATATATATAGTTGGGCAGGAACAAAATCTGATTTTTTCAATTACTTCCCAAGTGAAATTCTTTGCGTGTGTGACCTCAGCTAGCTAAGAACAAATTGAAGGGACCTGTTTTGGTTCATTCCCTCTGAGTGAGTTCTTAAAATGAATGTTAAAGGCCGGAATTTTTAGCAGCGGTCTCCGGTGGGTTTGGCGGGACCATTTTCAGTTGCTGATGAAAGCAGAATTTTGCTAAACCTGCGACATACGCTGGAGGGTTCAGAATTAAGTGAGATAAAGGACGGAGAACTGCATCTCGTTCCTGCTTATTTCTCCTTTCCTCCCTCGTCGCAAGCTGCCATTCACCGTTGAAGAATAGTTTTGTTGACTTTCTAGCACGGCGAGTTCTAATTTTAGCTGTGACTGCTGGGACGAGGAAGTCCGCTGGGATTCCAGAGAGTTACAATGCTTTATACAGAATACAATATCTTCAGAGGGCTGGAAAGGGATCCTAGAGGTCTTCTAGCCCAACCCACTGCTCAAGCAGGAGACCTTATACCATTTCAGGCAAGGGGCTGTCCAGTCTCTTCTTCAAAGCCTCCGGTGTTGGAGGCAAGTCATTCCACAGATTAATTGTTTTCACTGTCACGAATTTTTTTTCCAGTCTAGGTAATTCTAAGTAGTGTTTGCAGAATGTGATAAAATGCAGTTAATGTGCAATAAATGCAAGGCAAAATGTATGGTTTCACATTTAATAGTGACTCACGTCCTCATTTAGTGGCTGCCTCGTTGTAGCTAAAAGACTGCCTCATTTTCAGCTGCAGAGCTGATGAAGAAGTAACTTGGCGGCCAATCCTCTCATTTACAACTTTTGCAGGTTTGTAAAACAAAGGAAAGCTGATAGAAAGTCATAAAACTATGGTTGTTCCCTTAGCAACTGCTTCATTTAATGACCAAGTTGCCATTCCCAATATTTGTATAACACTCTCAGCAGTGAGAGGTTTTCATTTGCAATTGCCACTTTTTAGGAGTTGGCAGGGAGCCAGAATAGGACAAGTGGTTATAGAAAGAAAACAGGGAATATCATGTAGCTGGAATATAGGTAGTCCTCGACTTATGGCAGTTCATTTAGTGACCGTTCTAAGTTACAACGGCACCGAAAAAAGTGACCATTTTCCAGACTTACGACTGTTACAGCATCCCCTTGGTCACATGGTCAAAATTCAAGCACTTGGCAACTGACTCATAGTTATGACGGTTGCAGTGTTCCAAGGTTCAGTGATCCCCTTTTGCGAATTACTAACTTATCAACTGCAATGATCCACTTAACAATTGTGGCAAGGAAGGTCGTAAGATGGGGCAAAACTCACTTCACAAACGTTTCATTGAACAACAGAAATGTTGGGCTCAATTGTGGCCATAAGTCGAGGACCACCTGTACAGGTAGTCCATGACTGGCAGCCATTCGTTTAGTGACTCCTCGGAGTCAAAGCATCCCTGAAGAAGATGCTGACTCTGCGAACCGCTTAGAGAGGGGGCTTTAAAGCAGAGTGTCAACTCATAAAATATGAGTTCTATGGTCTTTTTAGAGTTGCCAACAGAAAAGGAGTGGGGAGCAGTGCGGCAGCTTGGAAATCAAAAGTGCATTCCATAAATAGTTGTTCAAAGACAGTAACTAGGTGACTGAAGTTTCTGCTGTGCAAAATTCTAACTGGAGAGCATGATTGATGGCTCTGGGCTATGGATGTGTCCCATTGGAGAATATGGATTACGATACACCCAGGGGGTGGGCGGAAAAGGGTGACAATGAATGACGTGCCTCAGAGTCGGCTACACCCAGGCAGTGCCGGCATGTTAACTCCCAATAAATCCTTTTTAAGTTTTGGAAGTTTGGCTCGAGACTCATGATTTAATTGGGGGTAACTGCTGGAATCCTGACACAGGGGTCTCCAATCTTGGCAACCTTAAGCTGGCTGGGGAATTCTGGGTTCAAGTCTGTCAGGCTTAAAGTTGCCAAGGTTGGAGACCCCTGGCATAGGGAACAAATCCAGAATCTAGTAGTCCTGCTACAGATACTTCAAAACTTCCGACACTTAACCCCATTTAAATCATGAGTCTCGAGCCAAACTCCAAAAAGATTTATTGGGAGTTAACAAGCTGGCACTGCCTGGGTGTAACCGACTCTGAGACACATCATTCATTGTCACCCTTGACCCTGGTTTTCCCTCCACCCCCTGGGTGTATTGTAACTCATATTCTCCAGTGGGACACTTCCATAGCCAAGAGTCATCAATCATACTATCCAGTTAGAATTTTGCAAGGCAGAAACTTCAGTTCACCTAGTTAATATTTTTGAAAACATTTATGGAATGCAAGCTGCCGCACTACTTCCCCCTCCCTTTCTGTTGGCAACTCTAAAAAGACCACAGAAATATTTTATGAGTTGACACTCGGCTCCCCTCACTTCTTGAAGGTGACTTGTACAACACACACACACACACACACACACATTTTATGAGTTGACAGGAGCCACAGGGACAGACCATAAAGTAGATGTGCGGTGTCTCTAACAAGACTTTGAGCTCTAAGCACATAGCGCTTACAAGCAGCATCCTGCAGCACAGGGTTATTATGCCTGGGGCTTTGCCCCTCCTATGAACTTGCAGGCAGCTTCCCCGGGGCCATCTCGCCTGGCTCCTAAACCATGGTCCTTGTCCTTCTATAGTTGAACCCAGAGCAGTTGCCATCTCTAGGATAGAAGCACTCACCAGAATTGGAGGGGCGATGGTGGTAAACAGACAGTTATTGGTTGTTTTTCCAATTCCAGCTAGAAGTAACTAGAAATAACAGCCATGTTAAATTTGGATGACAAATGCAACCATAAGGGGGAGGGGGAACCCACGGTGGATAAGATCACGCAGGGTGAAGGTAAAATGATGGGATGGGCCCCGGCCTCAGTTTGGTAGAGTTGTTTATGGTGCTTCATGAGCTGTCTCCATGACGGCCACCGTTGATTTGTGGTCCACAAGGTATTGTTTCTAAGGGAATATTGTAGAGGGGGAGGAGAACAGTCTCCCCGGTGGAGGAGGGTTTTCTGGCTGCTGCAGCGTTGACAGTGTCAACCTTAGTGTTTTATTTAAAAAAAAGGAATATTCTTGCTCACCCACAAAGACGCAGAAGGCAAGCTTACTGCAGGCCATTTGCAATGCGCACCGACCGATCCCTTCCGTCTGCACATAACAGAGTAGCAGAGTTGGAAGGGACCTTGTAGGTCATCTAGTCCAACCATCCGCCCAAGCAGGAGACACTACACCATTTCTGACAGATGGCAGTCCAGTCTCTTTCTTCTTGAAAGCCTCCAGTGAGAAAGCTCCCACAACTTCCGAAGGCAACTTCTGTCCCGTGGGTTGATTGCTCTCGCTTCATACAGGTAGTCCTCGGGGTAAGTGCGAAAAACGGTCATGTCACTTTTTTCCAGTGCTGTTGTAGCTTTGAATGGTCGCTAAACCAACTGTTGTAAGTCAAGCACTACCTGCAATTGCCTTGGGTGTCCACTTGGTTCTGGAGTATCTTCAGCTGAGATCCGCAACCTCAGGCTGTGGCTTCTATGGGTCACCTTCAGACAGAGCTGCAGAACTGGAAAGCTTCTTGACCTCTCAGTCGAAGAGGTTCTGCCTACCTTAAGAGCCTGAAGGACTTGAAGCATACAACCTGGCCATCCCGAGACATCTGAGAAGAAGTTAGTCCAGAGGTCTCCAAACTTGGCAATTTTAAAACTTGTGGACTTTGTGAGACCTGAATTATTTAATACTCACCATACAGAGGCAGGTCTGGCGCTCAATTCAAAGGTTTATTAAAGAAAAGAAACGTTTGCAGACGGGCCTTCAAGTCCCTTCCAAAGTGGATTGGGTACAAGAAGAGCAAGATCTCATGGTCAAACAATACATGTTATACACTCTACACAATGTACGCCATGTCTAAGAAGCCTACCCCACTCCCCTTATTACCTCTAAGTCAAAGGTAAAGGCCCGGCTTCACTGTTTCTTCCGAGGCACCGGATATCTTATCTTGTTTACTGGTAGCTTCGTCCTGGGCAGATGTTCCTGTTTTCTAAGAAGCCTGCAACTATCCAGCATGTTTTGTTTAATTGACCACACTTTGTGGTTAGGATACAGCAACGAAGACAACACAGCTTAATAATGCACTTAAAATTTCTAATTCTGTTACAAAAGAGTAACTTAATATTTATTTCCTTTAACTTCCAGAATGTTGGGAGTTGGTCCACAAGTCTTAAAGTGGCCAAGTTTGGGGACCCCTGGGTTAGTCCCTTAGGAAATGAGGAGGAGAGTGGTGCATGATAGATCCAGGGGAGAGAGGCATTTGGTTAGGGGAATCATGCAAACTGCCCCCTCCCTTTTAGACGAAAATGGGCTCTTCATAATAGACAGAAAAGATTTCGCCTTTTCTGCATTACGAAATGGTTCGCCACTTGCATTGCTGCCCGTATGTCCTGTGCTCCTCCTCCAGCTGACCCAGGAAGGCATCACGCAGGGATGCTAACAAGGTGTTAGAGCTGCCAATCTGCCATGAACTATGGAGGGAGGGAGCCAGACAGGTGGGGGAAAGTGAAACCGACGAAGTTGGTGAGAAGAGGCTGTGCCTCTCCAAGACACTCAGAGTTTTCAAGCTCATTGCCCTGGCAGAAGAAATGCAAGACCGTTGCAAAAAATAATTTACTCAAGTATAGTTGGACAATAAGGGGCCAAGGAAGCAGAGGAACTAGATGGGGAAAGTTAACCAGGAAATTTTGGCCCGAACTTCACTTCTGGCTTTGCTTTGCTGCAGTTCACTTGACTTCTAATAAAACTATTACTTTTGCAACAAAAGGGAGCCGAGGATTGTTTCGATTCAGGTCTGACTCAAAGGTGGTATGGATGGACGAGTGAGATGGATGCCATATAAAGTTAATTAATATAATGGTACTTCAGCACTCATCGTTAATTGGCTCTGGGAGATGTGATGAGTATCAAAAACAATGAGTACCCATTATTTCCCAAAAGGAATAATGTCACAAGGCAGCCAACAATGACAAGTTTTAGCTTGCGCATTGAGGACGAAACAAATGATGAGTACCGTGGCAGAATTTTCGCGTCGAAATGCATTGCATACCAAGGTCGATGCGTTTCAAAGCAGTTGAGTACCAAGGTAAATAGTACTAGATAAAACTCCCAAATTGCAGACAGGCTGCATTGTGTTTCTTTACAGCACAAGCTTTCCATGATGATGAAGATTCTGTGTGACCCAAGGCACATATACCACCGAAGCATCGTAAATCAGAACTATGGCGTCAGTTTGCCGTTGGTTAATCGGAGGAAAACAGCATGTGTAAGTAATCAAGTATTTTCATTGCTTTGTTTATTGCTTCTGATTTTTCTTCAGAACAGTTTTGAATCTCTGAATAACAGTTGGAAGTGACCTCGGAGGTCCACCCCCCCTGCTCCAGCAGGAGACCCCATACCTGGCTGTCCAGTGTCTTCTTAAAAGCCTCCAGTGATGGACCACCCACAGCTTCTAGAAGCAAACCATTCCACTGATTAACTGTTCTCACTGTTACGAAAAATTTCTCCTTAGTTCTAGGTTGCTTCACTCCTTGATTTTACCTTCCATCCGTTATTTCTTGTCCTGCCTTCTGGTGTTTTGGAAAATAAATTAACCCCTCAGCTACTCTCTTGGGCAAAACATCTGGCTCCAACAATATATTGTTTTAGGGAATACAGCACCAAACTATTTTGTGCATCTACATCATTTGATCTCTTTAGTTCAAATCCTCCTGGTGCCTCACTGATAAATGTACTAACGCATTATGTTAGACCAGAGGTCTCCAAACTTGGCAACTTTAAGACTTGTGGACTTCAACTCGCCGAATTCTCCAGCCAGATATGCTATGATAGCAGTCTTCCAATAGTTGAATGGCTGCCACAGAGAGGGGGGGGGGGGGGGGGGGGGTGTCAAGCTATTTTCTAAAGCGCCTGTAGGCCAGACAAGTAATAATGGATGGAAACTGAACAAGGAGAGATTCAACCTGGAAATAAGGAGGAATTTTCTGACAGGGAGAACAATCAACCGATGGAACAGAAGTTGCTTTCGGAAGTTGTAGGAGCTTCATCACTGGAGGCTTTTGAGAAGGGGGGGGCGTCCATAAGTGCACCAACGTGCCTACCGTCCCTGTCCTATTGTTTCTTTTCTCTTGTTCGTATCCATTTCATGTGTTTATTACCATGTTTATACTTATACCTGTTGTCTAATAATTGTTTGACTGACTGACTGACTGACTGACTGACTGACTAAATAAACAAACAAACAAACAAACAAATAAATAAAAAATAAGGCACTGGACTGCCATCTGTCAGAAATGGTGTAGGGTCTCCTGCTTGGGTGGGGGTTGGACTAGATGACCTGCACTCTCTGATTATCTGTTAAGGTGAGGGCTTGGCAGCACAAATGGCAGCCCATGACTTAATAGCCAACCATCAACACCCCAATCAGTATCTAAAAAACCCACATAGAGCAGCCCAAAGCATGCACACTGCTAGGCAGACGTTCTGTGAGGATGGGCTCCAGCACCAGTCTGAAAGTTTGGAAGACGCAACCTCTGGTCCCCAGTGATTGATTCAGATTGGATCCTGCAGCATTATCCTGGGACAAGTCAATTCGCCTTCATTCGTAATGAATATACTCGTTATGGCTAGAGATACCTTTTCCAGGAGAGAGTGCCTATGGCACAGGTATCCAGGCCCACCTGAGCCTTAGCGCTTCCTGCGCAACTTGGAAAAACTCCCGGTCCAGGAGTGATGATCCTCAACTGTGAATCTGAACGTCAAGAGACAGAATTCCTCATAAAGAACTGCTTCCTATCTCAGATTTGACAATACTCCAGCCATGTCTTCATTCCAGCTTGCTAGCTCAGATCGGGTCTCCCGTAAGCAACCTCAACCAGCACATGTTGAAAATGTTTGCAATAAATAATAGGACAAAGGAGAACTTCCAGCTGTGTTGAAGCAACTTGAATGTATCAGGTATTAGATTCTCTTTTTTAAAAAGTCTGGTCAAGAATATTACTGTTATTTGAACACAGAATTTAAAGAATTTTGTACAAATTATATCCATGACATCGATATAACATATATCAAAATATCACTGCAACACATAACTTAGCAGTGCTTGTGAAAATATTGAATTTATGTTAATTACAGGCCACGAAAATATACAAATTAACACTATTAATTAAACTTGAATGCAGAGTATGTTAATTGCACATAATTAGATGTATAGATTGGTGTTTGTGAATGCACAAAATTCTGTTAATTACATTTGCTTAAATATGCAGATTAGCTGTGTTAATTTAAATAGCATGCGAATTATTTTAATTGTGTGCTTCTTAAGAGGGGCCGATTAGCTGCAGGCCTCTTACCACTTTCTCCTCCGGCAATTTCCGAGTTGCTCACCTCTGTCAAAGAGCAAAAAATGCCCATTCAAACAGCCACAAAAATAAGTCTCCATAATTGCAGTGACCTCAGAGGAGCTCTCCGTCATTTTCACGCTCACAGCATTGTTGCGTAGCTTTGGGGGTGCTTGGGTCTCCACCTTCCAATAAATAAATAAATAATGCAAGACAAACTCGGTTCCTTTTCATTTATTCATGAGGGAGAATTTAATGCCTTTGCCTCCCCAAGTTTTTTACGAGGTGCCGTGTCCTACTGCCCGTTTTCCTTAAGTTCCTCCTCTCTTTTCTTTCTCTTGCTTTCGTCCTCTGTGAAGCTTATAGGCATCTCTCTGGGTCTGGACTGCTCTGCCTAGGAAAGGAGCAGCCATTTGTCCTGGAAATGGTTTTGTAGCAGTAGTAAAAACCGTGGTTTTCTTTTCAGGTGTGCTGCAGGATGGACTGAGATCTTGGAGGGGGAAGGGGCGGGGAGAAGATTCTGCCTATGGTTTCAATTATAAAAAGGGAATCAAAGCCCCGATGTTGGCATCAGACTTAAACAAATTGATGTTCCACTGGATGGTCATTTGCAGCACGTTCGCTGCATTTATGACAAGCGTAAACAGAAGACAATGGCAAATTAATAAACTGTCCTTTCCCCCCAAATCTAAGAGAAGTCAGAATTGGCGAGATCGGCTTAAGCGAGCCGATGATTGCGTGTGTCTTCTTCTCCAGCTACAAATGGGAATGTGAAGGTCACCTCTATTCCTGGATGACAAAACGGAGAGTGTTTGTTTGGTGTGGTTTTTTGTTTTTTTGTTGTTGTTGGTAAACAAATTAATCTTTGGAAAGGTCACCATTTGTTTTACATTTTGCATCCAGTCCTTGTCATCTGGAATCCGAGATTGACTGTCACTCAGCGAGGGTGGAGGGGAGCCGCCGTCCATATCAGCATTCTTTGATGGATCTCCATGCCTGATTGAGATGCTATGGGCTGCTGGCTTACAGCTGTCGCTGGACAAGGAGGCAGGCCCAGCCTGGAATTCCAATCAGCCCGGCCCTCCAATCCTGCTCGGCACTGGCTGGCCTTTTGCCCACAAGTAAGATGCACAGCAGTTTGAGCCGGCTATTACCCGGCTCCCTTCCTTCTGTGCTGCTTTCGGTCACGCATCTCTTCTTGGCCACCTACCTGGTGCGGTTAATTTGAGACAGGTCAGCTGGAAGGACAACCTACCGGAGGTCTTTCGATTAGAAAGGCTTCCCTAAGAGTCTAAATGGGCTTTGAGTCCAAAATGGGAGGGTTGGGGCTTTGGACCATTGGATGGTTTAACAAAAGGAGCTGCAAAGTTTTCTTGCTGAAAAGTCTAGCCAACTTTTCTACCTCTCTCTTCACTAATCAGAGGGAGGCCGGTAGCAGCTTTGCAGGCTGGCCAATTGAAAGGAAAGTCGTCGGATTTCTTTCGCCAGCCATGCTTGCTTCATCACATGCGCAGAGTAGCTAGGCTGATGTTGGATTTAAATTGGGGTGAGGCTGGGGTAGTTGGGGGGGGGGGAGATGCAGATGCAGGCTACCTGAGAGACATATTACAAGTGTCTTTTCAATTGGCAATTGTAACGCGCTGGAAGCCCGTTGCGTTTGTTGAGGTGGCCTGAAACCATTTGATGGATATAAGTTCAGCCGTCTTCCCCCCAGCTCAATTGTGCTTGTAAAATTTCTTTGTTCCGAAAGAGCTACTTTGAAATCTGTAATGGAGCGTCTTGGGAAATTAAAATGCTCAGATACTACTTTGTCCTAGTTTTGAGCCTTTGTGCGAGATTTGTGCCCATTAACTCTTTTGCAAAGAATCTGCCATGTTTGTCCTGCACGGAATCTAAAGGGGCTGTTGCTGGCAGGGCTCACAGTAGGGAAAGGTTGTGCCTCTGATGGTGTAAATGTAAGAGGCGAAGTAGAAACCTGGGTTTTTCTCCCTGCTCCACCTCCTCCCAATTTAAAACAAATAATAGTTTAACTTACTTTTGATGTATTGAGCGGTATACAAAAACATGGAATGGAACAGAACGGAATTCTTTATTGGCCAAGTGTGATCAGACACACAAAGAATTTGTCTCAGGTGTATAAGGTCACAGTGTACATGTAAACAGCATGTAATAGGTCATAAATCATAGTTACAATTATTAATCATAGTTAACCTAAATCATAGTTCCAATCATTGAGTTACAAACAATAATTGACAGATCATAAGAAACCAGAAGAAGATAGTAGGAAAGATGAGAAGATAAGAAAAGGTGAGAATGAGACAGTGCTGAGAGAATTAAGTGTTGAGCAGAATGATGGCACAACTCTTGTGTTTAGTTGTTTGGCATGCAATGCTCTGGATATGCAATGCATATCCCTATTAATAACATTTGTTATCTGAAAAGGCCCTACAGATAGTCCTCGTGTAGTGACAAGCGACTTAGTCATTAAATGAGGCAGTTGCTAAGGGGAACCCCCACCATGTTTACGATCTGACTTCAGATTTCCTTGGCTTTACAGACCTGCAAAAGTCATCAATGCAAGGATTGGTTGCAAAGTTACTTTTTCCTTGCTGCAAATGGCCACTAAACAAGGCAGAGTCACTACACGAGAACTGCCTGTATTGCACTCCTGATTTTTGGCGGTCGTAGACCAATATGGCTCTCCCACTAATAATTAGCCTGGTCAGTGGTGAGTTGGAAGGAACTGATAATTTAGGTGGACCGCTAAGTATCTTGAGAAGGTACCAGATGCTTAAGTCAGCAGATGGAGAAAAGGGGGGAAGAGTTTCTTAAGTGGCTAAGCCTCTATTAAATGCTTCTGTATATTCATAGTTTGCATTTCTTTTGTGTTGAATAGCTTCGGTGCCCACAATTAAAAATCTTTTCACATGAAGTGACAAAATTAAGTGTCTTTTTCCCCCCCTCTCTTAAAAAAAGCATAAAATAGTTGAAGGGTTTCATCACAGATGGGAAAGGTTTTTGTTTTTGTTGGCTTGCTTTCTGGCAGGGGTGGTGTATTTTCCATGTGTCCATAATTTTGCAGAATCATTTCCATGGGCCACTGGTAATATGAAGCCACCGTCCAACTAATTTATCAGTGTCGCTAAAGAGTAGTAACTGAAACAGCCTTGCATCTGGAGCCAAACGTTCTGCTTCTGTTCCGTCCTCAGAATCCGTCTGATTCTAGAGAAAACTTGTTGGTGAGTTGCTCAGCTGTGAACTTCGAATGTGGACAATGAAAGGGTCTCTGGTGGGCGCCCATCCGTTTATCCATTGGCGGTTCTGCAATCTGCTGGCTGCCTCCTTCACTTCCTAAACTTGTTTTGCTTCAGTCCAGTTTTGTTCCTAACAAAAAGGAAAACAATGGAAATTGGGGGGGGGGGGGGGGGAGACCCTTTAAAAAAAAATGTTTGCTTTAAATTGAACCACAGAAAAATAACCATATTGAGCGGGACATTTTTATCCACCACAGAAATGCGCTTCAAAGGGACTAATAGAATTCTTTTGTCTCATGCCTCAAGTTAATTATACAGAGAATTGCTTGAGATAAAGAGAAAATACTTCTGCAGCACATTTCAGGCATATTATGGCAGAGTAAATGTTTGCCGGCAGCCCAAATTAAGATCTCTGTTCTAACCTTTGAAAATTGTGTTCTGATGTGATGTTTCCCTCCACCAAAAATGTTTTCGTGATATTAGACGTGTCCAATTCCTTGGCTGGAAATGAGTGGTTTGCTTCAGCGCTACGGCAGTGTTTATCCTGTGAGCAGGCATGTCTGATTTTGTCCGGCTCTTCCTTTTGGGTAGAGGCATCTCCGGTGTGGTCAGCCAGCTCCACAAAGAAGGTTTCTTGCAGGCATTCCTTTCTGGAAGAAATGTAGAACCATTACCATGATGACCAACATCGTGTTAAGGATGGACTTGAAAAATAATGCCTTTGGCGCGTCAGTTATTGTTGGAACCAAAAACTAGTAGCATAGTCTTGTATTTATTTCAGCTTCCTCTTGAGGGATATTGGGCTCTCGGGTTATGTATTAGGCAGGTGTTACAATAATAAGCTTAGCAAAGGTGCCTGAGAAAAAGGGCCCTTTGGGGGTAAGTCCAAAATAAACATTAAAAAAAGATAATTATTATACCACATTCCCAGTGAAGAGGCCAAATTGTTAACAGATAGTAAAGGAAAGGCAGAACTATTCAACTTCTAATTTAACAAAGTAACAGAGTAGGAAGGGATCTCGGAGGTCTTCTAGTCCAGCCCCGTTCAAGCGGTAGAACCTCTACTATTTCAGATAAGTGACCATCTAGACTCTTCTTAAAAACCTCCAGTGATGGGGCACCCATGATTTATGGTGGCAAGCTGTTCCACTGGTTAATTATCCTCACTGTTCGGAGCTTCCTCCTTAATCCCAGGTTGCTTCTCTCTTTGATTAGTTTCCATCCATTGCTTCTTGTCTTGCCTTCTGGTGCTCTGGAGAATAGGTTAATCCCCTCTTCTTTGTAGTAGCCCCTCAAATATTGGAGCACTGCTATCATGTCGCCTGCTAGAACCCAGACCAGCACTTATTTAATTTTTATTGTTCTGAAACAGTGGTGTAAACCGAGCACCAAAGAAGAGATTTTGTAACTCATGAAATAGAAGTACAAAAAGTTATTTATCCTGCCACACTCTCCATGACTTTTGGTGATTAATGAAGTATTCTTCATGAAGTAGTAAATAAGCACTAAATTTTTGCAACTATGTTTAGTAGAGTGATATACACAACTGACGTTCACCAGATCATCCTAAGAGATCTAAAAAAAAAAAAGAAGTTTGGATTAGAAGGGAAAAAATGTGACTTCAATTATTCAGATTTTTCTATAGATAAGAAATAGGATTTCTCGTACACACACACAGAGAGACACACACGTATACTAGCACTATACCCGTGCTTCGCTACGAAACTATGTGGTCGGCCTTAGTTTTTGGGGAGGAAAATGGGGGGGGGGAATTCTGCCTCTGCCTACCAGCATCCATCGGGATTCATCTGGCTAGCGTCCTGTCAGTGTGTGAGAGAGTTGAGGGCTGTTTGGAGACTGAAACAGTATTTGCTGTGTGAGCAAGAAGCAGACAGCAAGGAGCCTGGGCGTGGCTTAGCTCAACTGTTCTGTACTAAAACTGCCTGGTGCTGTGAAACTAAAACTGAAACTCCTCTGCTTGTGTTTAGCATTTGGAAGAGATTGGGGAGGAGGAGGGGGAGGAGAACTCCTTAGCATGAGAGCATGTTAATAATAATATAGGAAATACTAATAGCTCTGATGGTCCTTTCGAAAAATCCTTTCTTAGTGAGCACCTAGAAGCCAAGAGGAACATACATGCCAAACACACACACACACACACACACACACACACACACTAACTAAACTAACTAACGGGCAAAGATGCCTTTTTAAAAAATGTGACTAATACATAATGGGTTTCCTAAAACATTCATTATCTTCTAAATTACAAGAATTGCTGATGGAGCCCCATAGTATATTCCGTACTCCTAAACCATGAAACCTGAGCCTGTACCAATCTTTGGGTGGTTAGGATCAAATCATGTTTTGCCGCCTCAGAAAAGTTCCTAGACACAAGTGGTCCGTACAATCAACAGGTGAGCCGCTGAAAGAGGAAACGTGTTTTCTCTTGATTTAGGCACCAACGCAGAAGATTGCGAAAGGGGTGACCGTCTACAACCTTCCCATTGCTCCCTCCTCCTCCTATTTGAGCCACATTCACTCTGCCTTGCCTATTACCGAGAAGGATGGAGAGAAAGGTCAGTCCTGGCCGCGTCATTCTGCTGGGCCCATTTGCTGCCTTTGCCTTGGCAAATACAACATGTTGTACCGTTGGTCAGCCACTCGTACACAGAACATAGAATAATAGGGTTGGAAGGGACCTTAGAGGTCTTCTAGTCCAGGGGTCTCCAACCTTGGCAACTTTAAAGCCGGGTGGACTTCAACTCCCAGAATTCCCCAGCTAGCGTTGCTGGCCTCCCAGGAGTTTGGGAAGGCTGGAAATGGAGCCCTTTCCGGCTTCCAGGGAGTCTCCAGAGCCCAGGGAGACTGTTTTCGCCCTCCCAGGGGTTCGAGTAAAGCCTCCGGAGGCTGGGGAGGGCAAAAACGCCCCTCCCCATCATGGTGCAGGAGGCCAACCAGGCCAAGGCCGCCCACCAACCAGGCAGAGAACCCATTGCTAAAATGTTTGTAGCCTACCCCTGCAGTGGTGGGGTTCAATTTGTTTTACTACCAGTTCTGTGGGCGTGGCAGGGGGAAGGTTCCTGCAAAATCCCCCTTCCCTCCCCCACCCCACTAACCTGCTTTCCAGCTCCGTTCTCCCAGGCAGGGCAACCAAAGGAGACCCAGCCGATCAGATGGGACTCAATGAGAAGCGGAGAATAGATGTGGGAGGCACCAGTCAGATGGTGGGATTGGCCGGTTCTCCAAACTACTCAAAATTTCCGCTACCGGTTCTCTCCAGAACTGGTCAGAACCGGCTGAATCCCACCTCTGCACCCCTGGATTGGAAGTCCAAAAAAATAATAATATTAATTACACCTCCCAGATAAGTCGCCTTTGAAATAATCCGTGACGCTTATTCCCTTCCTAGGCATCCTAAATCTAATTGAAAGAGGGCTGATCCCACGGGCTGCTAGGATTACTCTAAAGAAGCCGCCCATCCTGCCAAAACCTGTCCTTCTCCACGAATTTCAGGCCAAGCACAAGAAGGTGGACGCAGGTAAGTTCAGCCAAGCGGGAGTCTCCCGTGGTTGAAAGGCAGGCATCCGCTCTCATTGGATCATGCGCCAAGACTCCTTTGTTATCCTCGGGGATTTCAAAATTTGAAAGCACAAAAAGGGATTGCTGGAAGAAATATCCCTCTGGGTTCGGTTCCAAGCGGGGAAGGAAAGACATTAGAAACAATGGAGGCGGTTAGGAAAGATGGTTTAATGGTGGACAGGACCACGTGGCTTAGAGCTCCGAAGTGAAAAGGACGATCGCATGCTTCCGGATGTTGGGTGAAGGGAAAGAAGGGAAAAAGGGAAAAGAGATGCTGAGAGTCTCTTGGTTTTATACCCTCTGTTGGGTCTCACCTGAGTGTTTCCTGTTCCTGTGCAAGAAATGCATCCCATTGGCTGTCAGACTCCCAGGGGCGGGGTCTTCGCTAACTTTGTAGGCTTTGTCTGGACCCACATGGCTTCACCCGAGGGCTGGCTGATGCACTCTTGCCAGGCCAGGTGGTGAGTTGGGTAGAGGCCTTTGTTATGTAGAATACTCTGGCCTAGATCTTAATGGCCCGCCCATTAACAAAGGTGGGGGTGAGTTTCTACTTCCCTTTGAGGGGAAATATTCTGCCTTTTTAATATTTCCTAGGCTATTTCACTTTTTTTGGGAGAGGGGTGGGTGCCAACTTCCTACAGGATCAAGAAGAAGAAATAGGAATCTTCTATTTCTTCCGGCTTGAAATCCCAGGTGTTTCCTCGGCAGTGCATCTGTTAAGAGAATAACCGAGTTTTGGAAGGGATCTTGAAGGCCTTCTAGTCCAACCCCCTGCTGAAGCAGGAGTCCTATCCCACTCCAGACAAGTAGCTGTCCAGTTTCTTCTTAAAAGCCTCCAGTGATGGAAGCACCCACAGTTTCTGAAGCCAGGCCGTTCCACTGGTTAATTATTCTGTTAGGAAGTTCCTCCATAATTCCAGGCTGCTTCTCACCTGGATTAGTTTCCATCTCTTGCTTCTTTCCTTGCCTTCTGATGCTTTGGAAAAATAATTGGACCCCCTTGTCTTTGTAGGAGCCCCTCCAATATGGGAACCCCGCTATCATGTTTTCTTAGAGGGTCCATCTCTAACCTGTTGGTTGGCTATGATTGGTGGTTTGTCCGTCGCTTAATGTAGGCAAGAAAACCGACCAGGTCTCAGTTCAACGTGGCTTCTGGGGTGGGCAAATGATACGTCTGAGGAATTTGAGCACCCTGCCCTTTTCAAAGCCCCCTTTATCTGTGCCGTAGACCGGGCTCGGCAGAGCAAGAAGGTAGAAGCGGCTCCCCTCCCCTCTCAAAAGGCCACCCAGGTCTCTGAGGGCCCAGCAGAAGGCGGAAAGGAGAAGAAAGGAACCAAGGGCAGCATTGCCCCACCGCCATCTTGCATCTCCGTCATGTCCTCCAAGAAGCTCAAACAGCAGCAGCTCCTTCAAGCGATGAGACTAAGGGAGTCAGCCGCCTCTTCGGCTTGCATGGCCAAGGTACGTGCGTCTCTGGAGATTCTCAGACATCTAGGTCATAGTCCCCTCACACTTGTTTTTTTTCAAGAGGCAACTGGACTTTCTTGTTGTTGTTTTGTTTTCTTTGAAGACGTTTTGCTTCTCCCCCAAGAAGCTTCCCCAGCTCTGACTGCATGGTGGGGAAGGGAAGGATTGATACTCCTTGCAGACAGCTGGTCATTTGCATCCTTTTAGAATAGAATAGAATAGAATAGAATTAGAATAGAATAGAATAGAATAGAATAGAAGAGAAGAAGGAAGGAGAATAGAATGGAATGGAATGGAATGGAATGGAATAGAATAGAATAGAATAGAATAGAATAGAATAGAATAGAATAGAATAGAATAGAATAGAATAGAAGAAGGAAGGAGAATAGAATGGAATGGAATGGAATAGAATAGAATAGAATAGAATAGAATAGAATAGAATAGAATAG